ACAGTATGTAAATTAGGTACCGTAAGTCTAATACAGCACTAATTTTATACATTTCTTGTGAAAGAAACATTTCTTATTCAATGGCCATAAAAATTATTTATATTAATGATGCCTCCAAAGGTCAAGTTATTTTTCTGTGAAAAATTCGTTATCAGAAATCGTGGCCGCTGTTTCGTGCGCTGTTCTATGGCAAAAACAAGCTTGAGCAATGGCATAGTCAAACGGTGCACACTCGGTAAGTAATCCTACAATTTTTTGTTTATAGCATAGTTTATACGGATTATTCCCAAAAAATTATACGTGTTTTGGAAATGTTGAGTGTAATTAGTCTAGAATCGGTTAATTTTACAGAAGAAAACCTTTCAAACAGCATTAGTCCGTAAACTTCACACGTGTCGGGCTGCGATTGGCTCATGTATTTAATGATTCCTACAACATAAAATTCGAATAATGTGGAACGTATCTAAGCGTTATAGGGGGTCTACTGTACAAGAGATATTAAATATCTTCAATTTTGCCATGTCCAATCACTAGGAATGAGTTTTCTGTTGAGACTATGCCTCCACAAAAATATGCAATGTAGTTAAAATGATCTCTTCTATGTACTTTTTAATGTGTAAAAATCGTTGGCCATTTTTAAAAAGAAGTATGAATTTTTAAGTATTGGTTTTTCAATGGTAAATTTTGATGGTCTTTACCTTTTTCCCACCTATGAATGCATACTGCATATCTGTGCCATGATCATTTTTACCATATTTACATGAATAGTTTTAAAAAATTATTGATATCCACTTTTAAAAAATTAACAATATATTTTGTATTACTTTCTTCTTTTAGCAAAGTTTGTCCAAATTTGTCACCTATGCTTAAGGCTTGGACATTCCGAAAAACAATAATGTAAAATTTTTGGTATTATGTGTCAAGTATTTGCTAGTATGTTAGAACATCTGAATACAGAACAATTTACATTTGATTTTTCAATTTCCAATATTATAAGATCTTTAAATAGTCTACATATGAAAAACAGTTAGTTAGTTACCAAATACAGTAGGCCCTAAATAACTATTTACTGGATTTGGTAATGTCTCAGACAAAATTCAAATGCAGTGTTTATCACAGTGTTTTTCCATGGCCAATTCACAGACTAGTGCCACTCTGCAAAAAATTTCAACAGTTTCCAACGGTCCAAATAAAAATATTTGACTGTACTGAAGCTGGCACCATCCATTATGGGTGATATTTAAATAGTAATCTATAGTTACCTTACGTAACAAAGTCCATATGGTAACTCTAGATAAACATAATAAATAAACAGAATTACCTGTCCAGGTAAAATTATCTGTAATTTTACCAGTCAGTCCCTGATGAAAGGTTGATAACCTCTAGTTTAACAAACTCCTAATTATTATTCAAAACTTCACCAGTAGAATGAAACATGCGCTTCTTGTACTTGAGGTCTATAAATTACCTAACTGAGGCAAAATTCTGATTCTGATTAGCTACCTAAAACATTTTTCAGTACTTATTCCATCAAACATATATATATAATAGAGGTGGGCAAATATACTTTTTCTCGAATTTGAATATCAACCACAGCTTTAATATTCGAGTACTTGTGAGTAGTATTTTCAAATATATATGTAGATTTTATATCATATTATGCATAACTACATTAATTGAATATCGTATATTAAAAATTTAATAATGTATCTGAAAGCAAAAGTAAGTAGTTTACCCATAGGTCTACTGTAAAAAGGTTAAAATACAAAACAATTTTGTAAGTATTAACTGCTCAAAATACAAATTACTAATAATAAAATGATTTAATGAACCCAAAACATTTGAAACCTTTTGTATAAAAGTATATTATCATTGTTTGCATATAATTAGTAATCTATGATAAAAATAATAATTTGAATATTTTTATTAAAAAGTCTTTTCAATGGTAAAAGTGCAATTGCATTAATTATTGAATTGGAGAAAAAAGTAAATTTCTACTTACTATTGAATACTGATCCAATATATCCAACTATTTCATTGATTTGGTAAGAAAAGAAGAAAAAAATTTATTGAAGTTTATATTATTTCATATGATAATAATTCTTTTCAAATTGACATCAAATGTGGGAAATTGCTATTTATATTAATATTAATAAATATTAAAAAGTCAGTTACGTTTAAAATATTCAGATGATGTATTTTCAAATATTTTAATATATAAATTAGGCCTATTATTTAACAGTATATGGTAATTTATGGTTTGTGGCAAACATAAGCATTTAATTATGACTAGAACACAAATTTGTGAAAGAGAAAATTACAGACATTATAAAGTTACAATCAATTTATTAAATATATATTTTATGATTTATATTAGTTGATAATGTAATACAATTAATAAACAGTGAAGAAAATAAAAAAAATGATAATATTAAACAAGGTCGTAGGAATGGATCTGGCCGGTCCAAACCACTTTTTGCAGCCAATGTTATAAATAAACAATAATTTCAAATCACTGGCTATCACGTAACACAGATCAAACCAATAGACTTTCCCCTATGGAATCACTTTATTCCTCCTTCCTATGGCCCCAATAAAATGAACTGCTTTAAAGTATTGGTTATCAAAATATATAAATTTAATCAGAAATGTTTCCAACCTTGATTTAGGCTACAGAATAAATGGAATGAAACATGTTTCTGAATTACATGTCTTTTTGATAACTGGGACTACTTTGTTTTAGCATTTTTAGTTTGAAGTTTTGTTTATTATAATGAAAATTTGAAATAGTTTTCTGTATATAGTATTTTGTGAATGATTGTATAACTAGATATTAACTATAGTAATACAATAGTTTAATGATTTATAAATGTATACTTTAAACAGACGGAAAATATCACAAAACAACTGGAAATACGATTTCAGGCAGATAACCTGTGAGTTGTCTAAAGGTAATTTAAAGCAAGTGCAGGTTATGTGATGAAACAGAGTTATGTGCTAATTTTAAATTGGAATTCCAAATTCATCAAATAGCTCTTTCTTGGTCTACAATCAATTTATAAAATGTGCATTCTTTGTGTATTGAAGACATATTCATCTGACATCGAACTTTTTCCCTAAAATCAACAAAGAAAAGTATACACACCTCACTCAGTTCGTGCTTGTTTATTTGAGTGTTCAATCTATGCTTTAATTGATCTTATTAGGCATTTCTATTTAAATTTGTCTTGAAAGCTGATAAATTTGCTGTAGTTATTTAAGCTAAGACACGTGATGTGATAATTGTCATCCAAATAAACTAAGTTTACTGATTTTTTCATTGATGTAAATTAAATTTTGACAGTTAGAATATTTTTGTACATTTGAACTGTATAGCCATAAATGTATTATTGTAAATGAAGATAATATTTTTGAATATAATTAAAATAACTTTTAAATTTGTACTTTTATTTTTTGGGCTGTAATTCGAAAAAATTGCAAAATTCTCACTGTTGCCTGTCTGCTGTCTGTTCTTCCTTAATGTTGAGAATGGTATTAGATAGATAAAAATCAAGACCAGATATGGAAAGATTACAGACAAGAAGCCCGATTAACTATATACAAACTTCTGCTTTGGGCTGGAAGTCACGTCATTTCAATTCAAAAAATAAACTCCATTAAAGAAAAATATTCATTTTTTTCCTAATGGAGTTAGCTACATGACCGGCACAACTTCATTGTTAACAGGAAAAGTATGATGTACAGAGACAAGACGCTACTAAATTTAAGTTCATTGTAACGAAAAATTGCAGCCCGACATTGTGACGACATCACAATAAATAACCGCTCGTTTTTATTTATTTTCCAATTTGCTCAGACATGTTTCAAAAGGCCATTACTTGAATGAAGGGAAAATATATTAATTTTATTTATAATTAATGAAAATATATATGAACAATTTAGTAATATATTAAAAATCACCATGATTATCATTAACATTTAATTAATTTAAAACTAATATACCTGAACTAAAGCAGTATAATTTGCTTGAGAGAAATTTGGAGGATTATCGTTGACATCTGAAACTTCTATGTTTACCAAACCGACAGCAGAAAGTGAAGGAGTGCCACTGTCTGTGCATTCAACTTCTAAAACATAGGCTGATATCTAAAAGAAATCAAATTAATTACATTAAAAGTAACAGAATGACAAATGGATATTTCATTAACTGACTAAAAATTTATTAACCATTTCATATTTTTATCTTTCTTATTTTTAGTTTATGTTAAAAAAATCATTTGAGAAGCTAATTCAATCACAAGTCCAACTGATATTTTTTAATATCTGTCATCACTGGGTAGTAAAATATCACTCATCACTAATGTAGTCTATTTTGACACATGACAAGTTCAGTAGGAAGGACTATAACCTGATCCCATTTTGTTATCATATTAATATACAGAAGACTATCTTGTATATGATTATGTCCCTCACTGTTAATGTATAAAAATATATGTATGTAGAATTATGTTCAATCATTGTTACTTAATTGAATAATCACTCATTGCCCCAATCTTAAAAGTTTTGTTAACGCAGTTGTGGCTGAGTATTTAAGGCAATGAACTAGAAATCCGTTGGGATCTTCCTACACAAATTTAAATCCTGTTGACTGCATATTTCTATAATTTCAGTCTCTTAGTTCTCTCTGAGCAGAAAGAGGTTCATCCCCAAAAAGAAAAAAGTTTTTTTTTTGTTAGGGGAAATACAATGGCATCTGCAACAGGATTGAATTAATGATGAAAACTTTTTTCCATTATTTTTGTATAAGTAGTTAGTTATAAGCCTTTGGTGTACAGGAAAATAATATTTTATAATGAAAAAAATGAGGGTTTGATTTTGGTGAATGCTACTGTTTATTTGAATGCCATCCTGGTTGTTACAAGGTTTATAGGAATGATTCCTTGCTTCTCTAATTCTCTGGGAGACATTTTAAACATACAGAGATTTTTTCGTACTGTTGAGAGTGGGACTGAATTAGCAGGTTGGAAAAAATTCACAATATTTAATTGTGATCCTTAATCACAATTAAATATTGGGTTGATCGGAAAGTAATTTCATTTTTTATTACTAGAGGAATTAGATGTATTTTTACTAGCCAATTTCATTTTAAACCAAATTTTCATTATATACTTTAATAGCTGACATTTTAAGACTTATTTGTAAAAAATTTTGTTTGTTTCTGTACAATTGTTTTTTTTTTTTTCAGTGTTCCATTAAATATGGAAAATCGAAAGCATCATTTTCGGCATATTTTGCTTTTTTATTACCAACAAATCAAAATTCTGTTCAAGCAAGAAAAAAATTATGGTACATGTATGGAGAAGATGTGAGAGAAAGACGGTGCCAAAACTGGTTTACAAAATTTTGTTCTGGCAATTTCAATATTGAAGATGCACAATGTTCTGGATGGCCAGTTGAAGCCAATGAAAACAAAATAAAGATACTAATTGAAGCAAACTGCCAAATAACAACACATGAAATCATTAAGAGATTAAATTTGTCGAAATGAACCATTTATAATTACTTGAAATGAATTGGTTTTGCTTCAAAGCTCGATGGATTCCACATGTTCTTAAAGAGAGCTGTTCTCTTTGGTGGATATTAAGGAAATTTTTTTTCGAGCTCTTACCAGACAATTTAACAATTGATTCGAAAGTGTACTGCCAAAGAGTAATCAAATTGAGTAATATCATCAAACAGAAAAGTGTAGTGTTTTACCATGATAATGCCAAATTTCACACAAATTTGGTAACTCATCGGAAACTGTTACAGCTTAGATGGGATTAGCTATCACACCAACCATATTCGCCAGATCAGGCACCCCCAGATTATTACTTGTTCTGATCTATACAAAATTTTTTAAACTGTAAGACATTTACTTGAAATGAAAATGTCAAAAATCACTTGGATAAGTTTTTTGTAAGCAAAGATCAAAACTTTTATGAATGTGGAATCATGCTACTACCAGAAACAATGGCAACATGTATTTGATCAAAATGGTTGATATATAATTCAATAAAATATTTATTTATTATAAAAATATTGTGTTTTTTTCCACGGAAAAAAAATGAAATTACTTTCTGAACAACCCAATAACTTCAATTTTTCATCATCCTGACATTTGCCATTACAATTAACAAAAGTCAAGAACAGACACTCAGTAAAGTTAGTATTTATTTACGAGAGCTGTTATTAGTCATGTATGCTTTTATGTGGCAGTTTCCTGATCCAGACAGACAAAGGGTTCTATACTGTTCAATGTATTCTCGCCAAATTTGGCTTAAATATTCTTTAATACCCTATAAAAATATTGTGGAGTTCCCACCCCCAATTGTCCCTAAAGCCCACACTTTCTTGACTTTAACCAGAGCAATACTTTTGTGTTTTGCAGTTTTACTATTTTTAATACTGAAGTTAATACATGTACATTTTAGTTACTAAGATCATTGTTTTTATCACCCTCTCCCAACCCAACCTCAGCAATCTCATGTTTGTTTATCATTAAACTCTTAAAGATTTTCTTGCTGGAATTTTGATTCTGTGGGTTATTTATATCATACTTGAAAGAAATCTGTGGACTTTCACAAATTTTATATCAAATACAATGAAACAAGTTCATAGGAAAGTACAGGTAGCCCTCGGTTTACGCCGCAGTTCCGTTCCTACAAAAGCCAGTGCAAATTGAATCGGTGTAAAATGAACCCATATTTACAGTGAGGTATAGGGTTAGGTTCTACATAAGTGAAAAATAAGCAAATAATTTTGTTTATTAATACAAAATACATATATTATAAATTTAATTTTTTTAAATGCATTTTATGATAAAATAAAATGAAATGTTTATATTAAAAAATCTTGAGAAAAACAAATATTTCAAAGTTTCGAATCTCTTACATTTTTTGGAAAAAATTATCCATTTGTAATTGTTTATATTTTTGTTTTCTTTCATTAATAATTTCAGAATATGGTCAAATGGATGCAATAATATTCCTTTTTACATTTGCACTTCGCTCCCAGTCATTGTCTAACTCACAAAATTCATCTGTCAAACTTTCCATAGTTGAAGTGATAACCTGAAATAGAGCTACAGACAAGCAGAGATGCTGATTGGTCAACCGCTGGCCACCATAGCGCATATATAAGATCAGTTTGGGCAAAAAAATTGAAGTTGGTTTCGTCTCACTAAGGAAAGTTAGATATCATCTGGCCAACAAGAAGTAGATTTCATCTCACTAAAGATAATTTGTGATCGCTGGAAGTGCTACTGCATCGTAAGGTGTTTTCCTGAATGAACTGATATGGAATACAAACTATTTGCATTCATTAGCACTCTGGATTCAGACAATTTATTGGACTATTAAGTTTAATAACCTGACTTGTGGAAACCTAAACATTTAGTATTTTAATATTAATTTAATGCAAATGTATACATACTAGTGTTGCAATGAATAGTATATTCGGCCTCAGGCCATATACCAAATATTTGGCCAAACTATTCGGCTTGATTAACGCATGTACGAAAATTGGCATGCAAACCACATTATGCAAGGACCCTGCTCTCTATTGGCCCACTGTCACTACGCTTCGTCAATCACATTAATTCTTGACAGTTGTAGCGGACAGACAAGAGTGTCATGGCAGTATGTGATAAATGATAATATCAAATGTGGATAACAATGAAATGACCTAAATGTGTAAATAACAGAAAAAGAACAGAGAAGGACTGCAAAGTGAAAATGTGAAAATAAATATGAAATTGAGTTGATAACATAATCGAACGAGTCAAGGCAGCTTATTGGTGCAAAATTTGCAGCCATCAATGCCAAACAATTGTTGTCATAAGCCCTGGTCACACTATGCGATTTCCAGCCGTGCAGGCGACTGCAACCGCGACGGCTGTTCCCGTTAACTAGTAATCCCCCTCGAAAACCAGCGCGACTGCAATCGCAACTAGAAACAAAAAGTTTGTTCTACTCGCGACGATTGCAAACGCGCATCCAATCAACAAACGCTTTTATGCCACGTCATACAGTGACAACATTGAAAATAGTTCATCATCATGGCGGATAGTCAGAGGATTAATACTTTTACAGAATCGAGATTGATCGAGCTTATTCAGGCTCACGAATACCTGTGGGATTTTAATTCTTCGTTTTATCGAAGATTTTATCTTTTCATGTATTTTCGCCAGCTCTATTAAAATAATCGCCTTTTTTCTTTTATTCATTCCAGAAAAGGAACTGCTTGCTATTTTAATAAGAAAAGTGGCTAAAATTCCGTAAATACTCTGAAGTAGAACGTAAAATATCGGCAAACTCACGAAAGTAGTCAAAAACAAGCTACTGTAATTTTATTGGTTTATTATAGGGCCACGTGTTTCCGAGTTGCAACGTCAACAAACAATGTGTGACCACGAGAAG